TAAAATAATAATAATTATATATATATATATATATATATATATACATATATACATATACTGTATTTCAGACTGTTCATCAGTTTTCTAAAGTAGATATCCTGGTGTCTGGCCCCTATGTTTTCTAAGCACAACAGATGTGTGCACCAGATAACTTCGTTCTGAACCTACTATTGACTTTGCCTGAGGTGAAACTGTCTTTTGGGCCAATGGGAATTCTCAACTGATTTACGGAAACTACTAATTATATCATAACACTATTAAAGGAACAGCATTCGATTTTTTTTCCCCTTGCCATCAGCTTCCAGTTACATATTTGAAAGAAAATGTTCCAAACGTCTTGTGAAACACCAGCAGAAGACATCTTACAGTTACTTATGTTCTAAAACATCTAAGTTCTAAATTGAGCACTTACACTGTAGGGACACAGTAACTGCCCTCTGATGAAATATTGCTTGCTTTGAAACAGACAATCATCCTTCATTTTTTTGCCTGGCTCTTGTTGGCAGGGCATCTCATCTGGCTTGAGGTCACAAACGCTATCAACTCACAGAAAGGCCAGATCAGGTGACTATCTCAGGCATCCAAAGCACTAGCGGGTGTTGCGCACACCAAACACAGGCACGACACCTACACTGGTTAATTTTGGTGTGTGTGAGTTCTAGGAATGAGAAGAACAGGAAAGAATAGATGTGCAGCATTTAACCAAAATCACAGGTCAGAGTGTGAACAAGGACAGCATCCTGTCTCACAAACACACAATTACAGCAATGCCAGGCATTAACTTATGGAGAGAAAGTGATTAAAATGTTAAGTGGCCAGATCATCAAAAAAAAACACTACAAACTAAACAAGGACAGGATCCTGTCTCACAAACACACAATTACAGCAATGCCAGGCATTAACTTATGGAGAGAAAGTGTGATTAAAATGTTAAGTGGCCAGATCATCAAAAAAAAACACTACAAACTAAAATCACTCCATTCAACAATGAAAACAAATTCCTAGTTTTGAAATTTGCTAAGTATTAAACTATTAAAGGGATAGTTCACCCCAAAAATGAAAATTGTCATTTACTCACCCACAAGTTGTTCCAAACCTAAATGAATTTAAAATAATAATAGTAATGATTATTTGTAATAAATTTAAAACCATGTTCACACAGTAAATTTAACAAACAATTACAAAGAAATGGCAAACAACATTTAATTAAATGTGAAACTGAAATGGCAATTTCTTGTAAAATGTACTCCAGCCAGCATTGTTTTTATATTAATTAATATATATATATATATATATATATATAAATCAGTAATGTATTGTGCATCCCTTACGAAAATAAAAAAAAAAAAATTCAACCTGTGCAGGCACACAAAACAAGCCTTATTCTCTGCTTCCTTTTTAGTGACTGTACAACCTGCAGTTGAGCATGTGCTCGGTGAAGTCCAGTTTATATGTGTGTGTGTGTGTGTACACACTTAACAGGTTCTCAAGTCCAGGCCAGGGCTGACCTGCTTCCTCATGGCGCTTTGCCCAGGCAAGACTCATGCATATTTCACAATGCACACAATTCAAACGGTGCTCAGCACATACACACAAGGCAGGTTAGCCAGGCTCTGGGAAAATGTGGGTCAGAATCTGCCATCCACCCAGAGATTCCGCCGGCAGTCTTCGTAATCGGGTGTTGTGCTGTGTAGAAAGTAGTTTAGTTGTGCTATTATTTATTTATTTTATCTTTTATTTATGTTTTTTTTTTTTTTGTAGAAAAATAAACTAAAATCACTCCATTCAACAATGAAAACAAATTCCTAGTTTTGAAATTTGCTAAGTATTAAACTATTAAAGGGATAGTTCACCCCAAAAATGAAAATTGTCATTTACTCACCCACAAGTTGTTCCAAACCTAAATGAATTTAAAATAATAATAGTAATGATTATTTGTAATAAATTTAAAACCATGTTCACACAGTAAATTTAACAAACAATTACAAAGAAATGGCAAACAACATTTAATTAAATGTGAAACTGAAATGGCAATTTCTTGTAAAATGTACTCCAGCCAGCATTGTTTTTATATTAATTAATATATATATATATATATATATATATAAATGTGTTGTGCTGTGTAGAAAGTAGTTTAGTTGTGCTATTATTTATTTATTTTATCTTTTATTTATGTTTTTTTTTTTTTTGTAGAAAAATATACATTTTAAGAAAACACATTTTTGTCTTTTTGTCTGTAATAACCGACTTTATATTTTCTTAATGCTACAGTTAATGCATATGAAATGGAAAAAAAAAAAAAACCTGTATCCAAGTCCGACATCAAATGACACTTTTTCAAGCAGGACGTTTGAAGTTGAATGGAATGCAGCATAATTCTCAAAGCTATTGTCAGCCCTTAAACGTGTCAACACATTGTGAGAAATGCAAGACTTCATTACGAAGGTCGATATTATGAAAGTGTGAGTCAGTACGGTGAAGCACTGTATGTGGATTATAACAGGAAAGGAAATTAGCGTTAGGAATAGCTGTGTGAGCTACTCTAAGATTTCCATTGATGCACAATCATGCACAAAAGCGTCCGTTTTGGTTAGATTTAGCCAAGATCAGTGAAAACCAGCCCAGGCACCATGCTAACACAGCATCCCAAACAAACAGCTCTAGAGGGGTTACCATGGCAGCCAGGTTCCGCTTGAGAGGAGTATCGATTACTAGCAGGTGTAGGTTGTCTCATACATATCTACACGCACACATTTACTTCGATATCTAGATGAGGATATAAAATAGACGTCCGTTGTTTTTATATAAAGCTCATTATAATTACTATAGACCTTTACAACAACAAAAACATTGTTTTTATTCCAAATAAGGATGTTACTATATGTCCGCAAACTGAGGTTTTGGTATATTTAGCTAACTTCTGAGATGCAAACACTCAAACACTGTCTAAATTGCATCACTCTAATACACTAATAGATTCAAACTTTACTGAACCATAATTTTAAAAACATTGGAAACTTACCAGCTATCTCAATTAACATGATGAATCTGTTCCAAAACCTTCAATGATGTCTTCAAATTTGGCCAAAATTACGTACAGCCTTGAGGCAGCACTTTGCTTAACTAATTCCTCCATATGCAGCTCACCATGATTTGGAAAATAACTAATTTTTAGTCTTGTGAAGACAAATTTTATCTGTTCTAACCAAACTTTGCATCCCTAAAATAGAGATGAAAACCAAACTACTAGAAACAATTCCTAGAAACTAAATTAAGAAAAATGTTCTCATCCTCAAGGCCATTTAAGATGTTTGTTTCTTCATCGCAGCAGATTTGGAGAAATGAGAGTCCAAACAGCTGATTTTTTATTTATTTTTTGCCCAGAAGCAACAGTTTAAACAAAGTTAAAACACCATAATGATTGATTTATTTCTTGCAAACACAGGTTTTCACTTCACAAGACATTAAATGATGGGCTGGAGTTGTTTGGATTACTGGTGGATTATTGTGATGTTTTTATCAGCTGTTTAGACTCTCATTCTGACGACATCCATTCACTGCAGAGGATCCATTGGTGAGCAAGTGATGAAATGCTGAATTTCTCCAAATCTGATCCAATGAACAAACAAACGTATCTACATCTTGGATGGCCTGCGGGTGAACAATTCCTTTAATAGTATCCTACTGGCTATATTCCAGATTTATTTATATCAGCAATCCTCTTAATAAACAGTAAATAAAGATGCTTACTATTTCCAGCATTTACATAAGACTACTGCAAGCCTGCGCAAACAACTCAAATAACTCTCAATCAGCGATGGCTAATAGTGCTAATATGCTCATTTCATGCTTGTCAGAATTAAAAAGTGATTGTGGGGATGAAAGCCCTTTGCTGTCTCCAAGTACACAAAGTAATGAGGATCAATAGATGCATTGCTGGACATCAGATGTTCACATCTGCCCACTTCTAACAATGCAATTACAGCTTAGCACTGTATGACCTCTGTCTAGAACCAGATATCTACACTCAGTGACTTGCATATAATCTCTCATTACCACAAAAACATGCTTTATCATGGATAAAGATAAATATTGTCTTGACCATTGCAATGGAGGAGTCACCAAAATACATGCATAAAAATGTCTCTGGCCTATTTAAGCCTTTTTTGCATTACAGCTAGCACAACATTTAGAAAATATTTGAAATATTAAATATTTCATCAAAAAGTATGCCTTTAATTTCATATAAAATTTTTGAAGACAAAAACATCCTGAAAACATGCATAAGCTTATGTGTAAAGTAAATAAGGTTATATCTATCTCCATTGTTTTGCTCTACTAGAGAACTCCATTAGGTCTGGCCCAGTCTTATTTTTTGTCAGTGTCATAAAGACAAGTGGTGTCATTTCTGAATGAATTTCCATTACTGAAACATGACATTTTCAAATGACAAATAACAGACCGATGCTATTCAGAATGTGAAAAAAAATCTTATTATTGTTTGAAGCAGAACATTTTCAAAAAGATGTAACCAAGTGATTGAGATGTCTCGAAAAAGAACGAGAGGTGATATCTTAAAGGAGATACAGTACCACACTAAAGATGTCATTCACTAGTGTTATACTTTCAAATTCTGTATGTGCAGACCACCATTTGCTCCAAACCCTCCCCTCACCAGAACAGATTGGTTACATTTTACTAATTGATGTGGTTTAGAAGAAGCAGTCCCTTTTGCAAATGTGCCGCCTACTTCTGCCTGATGTCTGATGAGACTGGCCAAAAATATCTTGCATTCATCAGTCAGAATACATACAGACATCTAAACAAATGTAAGTTATAAGCCATACAAATGTTTACACAGCCTTTCTTTCTTTTTGTTCATTTCCAAAGAAAGTAATAATGACAAAATTTGTAATAATAATACAAATTATTATTATTACCAACAAATTATTATAGAGTTTATTATAGAGCACCTGGCCTATTACCCTATTCTGCAAACCAGATTGTGGGAGTAGTTTTTACTCATTTTACACAGTTTTCCGTGCATCTGATTTCTTTCTTTTTGTTTATTTCATTGTGTCATGAATGCCTATTTCAACAAATAATTAACAGTCTTTTGTTCACCGAGCAACATCCAGACTAGTCCATCACAATCAGAGTGGTAGCCTTGTTCTCTTGCTTTGTCAGGGACAAAAGACCGCCACAAGCCAGTTGGACGGGAAGACAATAATCATATTTAGCCATAATCAAATGGCACTTGTTCCCTCTGGGGACCAGATAGGAAATCGTTGTGTACAGTAGCTTAATGTGTCAGGTGTGACTCAGGGAAATTGGAGGCAATTATGGGCATAACTACATTTAGATGGGTAGACCGGGGTGTGGAAGAGTAAGGCTTCATTTTTTTGTTTGTTTGTGTGTACATTAGGGTTGGGTACCGAAACCCGGTACCAATATGGCACTGGTACCTATGTAACCAGTATGTACTAAAAACGAATCAGAATGCAGATTTCGGTGCCTCATTTCGGTGCCATGCCTGAGCGATCGATTGAAATATTTGTCCTCTGGTTCTCCGAAACGGACGTAATAAGCATCATCACCGGCACCGCACGTGAAAAATAATTTCCCGACAGAAAATGCACGTGAACTCAAGTCAGAAAACTGTAATAATACTAGTGTTGTCACGGTACCAAAATTTCAGTATTCGGTACCGATACCAGTGAAAATCCACGGTTCTCGGTACCAATTTCGGTACCAAAGCAAAACACAAAAACATGCTAATTGAACAACATTTTTATTAATAACGTTAGTTCTCTGAAACGGACGTAAGAAGCATCATCACCGGCACCGCACGTGAAAAATAATTTCCCGACAGAAAATGCACGTGAACTCAAGTCAGAAAACTGTAATAATACTAGTGTTGTCACGGTACCAAAATTTCAGTATTCGGTACCGATACCAGTGAAAATCCACGGTTCTCGGTACC